AAATTTAAAGCACAAACAAGTGCCGAAGCTAAACTTCATTGAAACTTATCGAAAAAAAAGTTTCCCATATGGTGCGCACTTTAATGGTGACACTGTATACAGGAATTCTGCGTATAAGAAAAGAAGAATAATAATATAAGAAGAATGATATAAAAGGGCTGCTAGTTGATCTGTGTTCATACAACAGTGAGTAGTTTCTCAATTTAACTGTATTATATTTTTTATTAAGTGTATTATGTTAAATGAATGTATTTTTATTTTCAACTTGACAATGCCAAATCCATTATAATGGGGTATTGAGCAAATTAAGTGATTGATAGATTTGTATTTAGAATGTGGTTTCATCTAGTGCAGTGGAAACTGCAGTGGAGGCCAGAAGACGAATCTTATTCGGAGGTCGACGTTGAAGCTTGGCTTTGCAATTGGGCACGTTTAGGAGCCTTGTTTATCCTGATATTCGTGATTAGGTCTTCATAGTTTCCTATCTACGATTCCCAAAATAACATTTAACAGATTATGAGAAGTACGAACTGGAATATGTGATGTGATGGAATTTGCCAATACTTGATAAAAATCGATAACTTATTGAAGTGACACTTTATTGTGAGATCTCCACTGGACAATGCAGAAAACAGCAATACGTGTTTTGCTATATGGTAGCTATAGCGAAACACATGCTGCAGTTTTGTGAACTGTACAGTGAAAATCTCACAATGAAGTATTACTGGATAGGAATCAAAGAGCATGAAAACAACACAAATGATCATTCTGGTTTTGGAATCGTAAGGAAAAAACGAGCTAATGAGTATTTTAGATATTTCAATCCTCATGACTCATTTTGATGAAAAAATTATTTTCCTATAGGTTCTGTACTTTTTTTCTCTATTTTAGTCTGTTTTAAAAACATTCTTCAACCTTAATAAAAATCAACCTTTTTCATTAAATATATGCTCTTATTAGATATAATGAAAAAATCTTACCTCGGTTGGCGGCATTTGAAAATCATCAAAAATCACTTTAAATTTGGCACCCACACCTTCACTAAGAATAATATTCAGTTTAGGCTGCCACAGAAAATAATCCTTCTTCAAAATATACATTTTCGGTTTGTGACAATACGAAAACACAGTAAATTCATTCAAACAATATCTGAAAGAAACATGCCTGAAACTGGAAACTGAAGTATTATCAAATAACTCATATTTCCAACACATATTAAAACAGGCACTATTCTTTACAACAGCCTGAAGGTCATTTAGAACTTTTTCAAAGTTGATACAACATTTTGCAGAATCATTTTTACTGTTTCCATACTCGTTGCATTTAGTTTCTATTTTAATTTTTGTCAATTTAGATGTTTCTTTTTTTTTGCAAGACTGCTTGTCTATTTTTGAAGAAATCTCATCCTCTACTCTAGATTCTTGCGTTGAAAATTTCACATGAAACCTTCTTTGAGCTGGAGGTACATACAGTTGCCTCTCTGGTCTTTTTCTTCTGAGTTTGCTACCACTTTCCTGTTCTCTCTCTGGCATGGTCTGCTCTTCCAATTCGTTTGTTTGTTTTCTTCAATAATAATTAGATATAGGTACACAAATTCACTTACACAAATGAACACTTACAGTAAATGCTCTCTATGACATATTGCAATAGAACAAGTCTTGTCACAGCCAAGGAGAAAAACTGCAAGGTCAAATATCCTAGCGTGGTATCGAACTGCCTTCAAATAGTTTGGTCCCAAGAGAGGAAAGACAACAACACTAAAAGTAAATGCCAATGAAAGTAAAATCAGGATTTACATAATAAGTGAAGTCACAATCTAAACTTTCTCTTTCCATAACATTTAAATTCCTTTTCCGCGTGCTTACTCAGCGTAAATGCAACTGTCTGGCTCGGTTATTCGTTTCTTCTAGTAGCAAGCGATCAGAACCTCGATTATTCTTAAGAAAATTTCCTTACCAACATTTGTTTTTGTTTCTGAGAATGACTTGGAGATCTTCTTGTACACAACATACGAACTCCCTATCGTAAAATATCTTGTTGAATTTCGTTGATAGCCTTTTCAATATTTCATCTATGTCACCGCTACTCATATCATGATTTTGGTTACTTTCTTGATCATTGTCGAATCACACTATCAAATAAAAACAAAATATGACATTCCTTTCAAGGCTACTGAACTACGTGCGCCATGCTTTTCACTTTCATTTGAAGTCGCAGCATTGCCAGATTTCGAATCCAATAATCAGCATAATACTAAGGAACACGCATATTGTCTGAGTTTTAGAGTCTTTGATTTCAGCAAGTGCGTTACCCCCACTAAATCTATGAAAACTACTTTACATTACAAGTAAAACTTGATTTTTTTCATGATGCAAAATTGAAGATGATGCTTTTTTAAAACCTACCTGATAAACGTACCCCTGTCGGTATCAGTTAACAAATGAAACGCTACCTCCCTTAGTTCCAATTTTTCACATAGAGGGACTTCGTTTGTCAAAATTGAAGTATCCGATTATTTCTAAGGATTATTTTCATCATGACTGTTTATCAGGAGGTGAAAATATTGATAAATCTTTCTATTATCATGGTTGATACATAATCACTGAATTCGATTGTATTATTATTGATAATTAATTATGGTTGTTGTCGAGATTTTCTGAATGTTCATACCAAATATAAATACGAGTAGTGCTAAGAGCTTGACGGAAGTTTTTCTAATTCAAGCTCAAAACAAGTTCAAATTGCAGGCTTCAAGTTTGAATATAGAACCTACGATTTTGTAGGTATGTGTGGCAGATACCCGACGGAAAACAACAACTAACCCAGCTAATGCCGCGCAGAAAGATGAAGTAAAACCATCATGCACCTGTGCAACGTCTTCCATTCATAAGATTCGTCGCAAGTAACTTCCTACATGAAATTCATTTCATTTACTCGGGACGACCACTGGACAGGTTTCGGAGCACTAGCTCCTCGTTAGTACTGCTAGGGTGATTTCAGACGGAGTGAATTGTCTGAATATCCCGGTTGTACTTTACTACATAGAGTTGTTATACGTATACCAATGGATAGAGAACACATTTCTTTATGGTTGAGTAAAAATCGCATTTTGGTTTAAATTGAACGCGGTGTCCTGATCTCAACCCCAGACTTGAGATAGGAGATTCGAGATAGGATAAGTTTATTTGACTGATGGTAGAAATACGAGTTTATCACAGTTGCGCAATCGTCCTTGAGTATAGCTGGACTTTGTGGTTATATTCACTAATACGTAAGGTATAAGAGCATATGGATTGCGTACCTATTACATTATTATTTATTCACACTAGACACGATATGTTCTAGTTACCAAAGGTAAGTCAGTATTTGAACAATTACATCACTCTTGATTTCGATGATGGGTTGTTTGTAACATTCAATGACCTTGGATTTTGAGTTGCAATATTAATAGGTACAGACATTGAAACAGGATTGATTGATTAAAATCTAATTATATTAGATATTATATTGGGAAAGAAAAGTTTTGGATTTCTACTTCTCCATTAAAAAAATCCAAAGGAAGGAAAAAACAATGAATTTCGAAATGAACTCTTCACAAAGATGTGTAGACATGCAAAGAACTAACTTTCAGGCACAAACTGGAAGAATAAACCCTCTCGTAACAACTATTAGGTTGTATTTTGTAATTTTCACATTTTCACTTACATGGAACACTGTCATCCTCAGTGGCGGACATCGAGATTTTCGGAATAAGACTCTTGCCTTATTGCATATTCAACATCAATCTGACGAAACAGTCAATTGATTCATAAAATTACGATTTTGTCACGAATGAGTTGAATCTACTCATATCATCGATGACAGTGCGCGATAATGAACTACCATTATTTTCTGGTTATCTTTATTATTAACAATATAGCAACGCTGGGCTTGAATGGGCTTACTTAATTTCCCAATTATTTTTGCATCTAGTAATTCTTTCACAGTTTTTGTAACTACTTGTTTATCTTTTTCTGAAAAGAGCGATATGATCGATGAGTGATAGGACTATCTGCAGTTAATTCTATAGACATTAAAACTGAATGTGTTTTCCAAAGGCGGTTCATATCGAGAAACACGGATTTTTCATGTTCAATTAATATTTTTTCTAGTCTTGATGTGCCTTGAACTGACAGAGTTTTGACATATTTTGTATTCAACAACCACTGAGGAGTATTTGCTCTATTTTGAAAAGTGAAAACAGAAAACAGCGCCCACCCTGTGATAAATGATATCGTGATTCTCTGAAATTTGTTCCGATAAAAACTTCATTTTCAACATTCTTATCTTCGATTACGTAATACACTATGTTTTTTCATCACCTAAAATGTTATCATCGTAAGAATGTGAACCATCCAGTTCCATAAGGAAGTATAAGCGTTTTTCGAAATTTCCTCGCACATTTTTCAACATTTCTGGAGTCACCGCACGACACTCCACAACAATTCTCCTGCGTAGGTCATCAAGAGAATTTGGCTGTGTGGATTTCAAATGACCCCACAAAAAGAAGTCTAATCATGATAAATTAGGAGAGGTAGCCACCCATTATATTGGTACTCGCCGTCCAATGCATCCCCCTGTGGAATTGTCATCTAAAAATTGAAGTACAGGTGCAACAAAATGTGGAGGAGCTCCATCTTCTTGAAAGGTGAGCTAAACTTCAAGTAGACTATTATAGTCTTCAATAATTGTGGAGCCCATGATGCAAAATGGGGATTTACTCGAGCGTTGCAAAGCTTAGATGATAAGAAGAAAAAAATGTTGTATAATATATATCTTTTCATCGGTGGGGGAAGCGGATATAGATTTTTGAATATGTAAAAAAATACTGTTGCATGAACATACTCGAGCGCGTCAGATAATAATACCATCAATGTCCTACGTATTTTTAATAATGTTCGAATGTTAATCTGATCGTTTGCATGATGCGGGTGGTTGTACGTAAGGGTTAAAAGTGAAAAGAAAAAAAAATCAATCAAGTGCGTCAGATTTTCTAAGGGCAACAAAAAAAATCTCATTCAATAATCTGACGATTTCGATCTGACGCAAACTTGCGGCCATTATTATGATGTGCAAAAAAAATTCGCCATTTTGAAATAGTCAAGCGCGTCAGATTAAGATATATATTATGGTTCAACTTTATGTTCTAGACGTGCTAGAGACGTCTCATAATCTGACGATTATCCAGAGGGATTCGGCTAATCTGACAAAAACATTTTTTTAATTTTTTTTAAATCATTGAACTTGAATAATTGAAAAGCTCAGGAAATAGCATGCAAATGAATAAGTGTATGTTTTTTAAGTAGAATACAATTGATTATTTAATCATCTTCATCACGAACGAGTCTCTGTGATCAGCTGTGATGGCGTGATGGCAACAGAATTCAGACTGGGGACGGAGTGAGAGAGTGATAGATAGAGAAAAAGTGAAAGGAATAGAAACTCGGAGAGGGAAATATAGGTATCACACAGCTGCACGCATTAAACTTTATCGACGAATTTTTGTTATATCTTCTCGCGGAAATCGTCAGATTATATATTTTTCGTTATCTTCGAATTATTTCCTTCAAAATAAAAAAAAAATAGGTACGCTCGAGAATGTCGAAATGACGTTATTAGTTTACAACTTTGCTGCCATCCCCTTTCTTTACGTCACTCTCAAATTGTCAGATTACTGGAATATACACTTTTTAGCATGTAATTAACTCACGCTACCTTAATCTGTCGCGCTCAAGAATTTCTGATGATCATTTTTTTTTTACTAATCTGATCCTTTATCCTTCACGGGCGGCCTTATATATGACGCTCATATTTGGTGGAGGTACTTAACGGGGTACAAGGTATCCCCCTGTATATTAATCTGCCGCGCTTTAGTAAATCCCCGCTTGAGCTCCCCTATTACAAGTACCTAACTGAGTGAGTCTGGGGTTCACAGTTGTATCAAGAAGTTCATTTAACTTTTGTCCGTTGAAGTTACCATCAAAAAAATATGGACCTACAATATGGTCCCCCAGAATACCGGCCCAAACATTCAATTTCTGGGGAGTTTGTGAATGAATTTCTCTGTACCAATGGGGATTTACGTCACTCCAGTATCTGCAGTTGTGCCTGTTCACATGTTCATTTAAATAAAAAGAATATTCATCAGAAAATCATACATTGTATAAGTAATTATTATGAGCAATCAATAATTGACTCATTATTTCACGAAATTCTCTACAAAACTCTGTCTGTCAGGATCATCTTCATTTAATTCTTGTAATTCATAAGGATGGAATTTTGCTTCTTTCAGAATTCGATGTATGCTGCTATTAGAAACTCCAGAAATAGTCTCAAGTTGTCTTAGAGATTGAATGTTGTTCACCACTGCATGTCCTACAACTGCAACAGCGACCCGTTCATTCCTCATAGGCTTCTCTCGTTCATGTTTTTATTCAGCACCGATCCCGACTCCATGAAATTATAAAGCATATTATTTTTCAATACAGTGGCATAAACAAAGTGAACCTTTCTTACGATGATAACATTTTAGGTGATGAAAAATAAAAATATCTTGATAAAACTTAGTTTTGATTAAAACATCAACAACACTTGATAGATCCTCAATTTAAGTACACCGATGTATTTGGGATTGAATTCCCTCCCATTGAAAATTCTGAAGTAGGGGATGAAGGGATTGCCAATACAATGATGATGTATTTGGCGAAAGAGTTCCCCCTTGAAATAAAAATCGACAGGTCAGAGCGATTTTCAATTTTTTTCTCGAGTTCGCAGATTAGGGGCGTGACAAGTTTTAGCTGGGACACACTATATAATGATTCAGCGACAAATGACTACGTTGGATATATTGTATACAAAGACGCCTTTCAGTACATTTGAAACATCAGTTATGCTAGGTTAAAAAAACTACCAAAATTACCGATTACTATCGAAGGTACTCAAAAAATATTTCTAAATAATATCGACTTGAAGACATCATCTAAAAATGAAGAATTATTTGTCAATAACATGGAGTCAGAAATCGTGATATTTTTATGCATTATCAACATACAATTCGTTTGTGCAGTCAAAGTACATATTTTATTGATGAAACATTCGACTTATACGACTATTCGATATTACAACGATAAAAATAAAAACAACAATAAAAATCAATTGGCGCTCCGGGGCGACTTCATTGATTCCAGTGGCTCATTTGCTTTTTCAGCTGCAGGAAAACCCGGAAAAACCTGCAGCACCACATGATCTGAAGATCTTGATCTGCCAATGTCCTCGCTCTCATAAAACAAAATGTAGGGGGTGTCTCCAGAGACTCCAATAGCTTCAATACATCGCCAGAGCACTTCGTGACACGACTATCGTCAAACTTAAACCAGTCCGTTTCGTCTTTAACCAAGGCGTAATATTGACCAAATTCAACGCCAGAACCACAGTGAACAATGACTGCATGAATATTATAATAGTGGTCTGCTAGATTGAAATGTTCATCTATTTCGAAACTTCCAAANTTTCGGCTAGATGGGAAGCCGCGACCGTGTCAACGCAAGTAAAGTCCCATACCACAGGTTTACCGTATTTCCATGGTATGAGAGACATGCCATCTGGTCGTTTACCATCATCTCGACTGGTACCTAAGGGTTCCAGAATTGCAGGAACATCCGCTGACAACATAGCTCGTTTCAATATGTCGTTCACCTGGTGATGTCGAGATGTACGCCTTGCACTTCTCCTGCAACTTAAACCATGTGTACCTTTCTCATCAACTATACTACCGTAAACACAAGTATGAGGCATACAAATAGATTAACCCATCCTAAGTCATACTGCGAGAACGGGAATGTTTCCTACTTATTCATCCAACTCAAACGCCTGTACATGCAGCTGCAGTTTCGTAAGACTTATATTAAAACCATTGAGTGAACTAATAATGTAAAAGTATTTTGGGAATGAAATTATACCAAATAGATCTCGAAAAGGCACTAATTTCTTGCGTCAAGTGAGTTTATCCATATACTCAAATTGTGTAATATAGAGGTTTCATTTGCCTCAGGCATGGTAATTTTTATTCAGGTGATGAAAAATCCAGAACTTGGGAATTTCTGTCGAATATTTAGAACAAACAGAATTTGGAAAAAAATTATATACACTAAATTCTTTTGAAATCATGGGAAATTGGACTTACCCTCCGGTGAATATAGGTTTTTTGAAAGAAGGAACATTTTCAATACTTAACACTTTCAAATCAAACCTTTGAGAATAAAATAGAAAATGAATTTTCGGCAAAGAATTCGTGTGCCCTCTAATCATTCGGGAATCCCTTCCCCGATCACAAATGCAGGCGGCCAAAAGGTTTACGGATTCTTATCTAATATGGATTACAATACATTCACTATATCAGTGTGAGTTTGTATTTGTACTCCATCGAGTTCGAATTTCGTTCCGTTAACTACCCACTTATTGGTGCTTCTGTGATCATGGGAAAGATAAAAGAAAGGCTAGGCGCTGCGGAGGGAAAACAATTGTTCACAAGTGAGAAAAGACGTAGTCGTAGAAACGTCGGAAAGAAATCATTAATGAAGAAGCACATGTTTTTGACTATTCAATTACATCATTCATCACGCCATTTTGTAAATTTGAGCGACATCATCATTACTCAAACTTTTCTATAAGTTACATACTGAGCAACGTTGGTTATAGGGCAAATTCATTGTAATTCAACTTCCCATGCAATTTTGCTTTTGTACGACAAAACGAGTATAACATAAATGTATACCCACTCCTT